AATATATTAATAATATATAATGATAATAAAGTTAATGAATATGCTATAATTCATTATGACAGAATTATTAATTGTAATGAATAGTAAAATTATTTATTTAATAAAATATTGTACATAATTATAGTTATTAATAATAGTATAAACATGAGCTGATTACCCTTCTCGATATTATAATATCATCTTATTAATAAAGTTTAGACATTATGAATTAAAAATACTTTTATTTAGAAAAGTTACTTTATATAAAAATATTGAAATTTTGAAATCTATGAGTCATTTATTTTTTGTTGGAAAGTATATGTCTCATAAATTTCAAGGATCAAATATTTTTATATAAAGTATACTTTTCCTAAATAATAGTATTTTTAATTATATCATCCAATTTTTTATTAATAAGATGATATTAATTATCGAGAAAGGTAACATTCTTTACAACATAAAGCCATATAATATTAAAAATTACTGCCATTATTTAATATGTATTGTAATAAAATATGTCCATAACAGAAATATTTAATAATATAAATATTTTAATTATATCAATAGTGTTACTTAAACTAATGATTACATTCTTATTTAATAATTATACTCCTAAATAAATTGTTTAATAATATAATAATAAGTTAATTTAAATAACTATTAAATGTGTGTTAATAATAGTATAAGTATTAATTATAGTTTAACTTAATTTTTTTTAATCATAGTGCAATTTAATAACTTTGTAAAATGTTTATATGTAATTTATTAAATAATATAATATTAAATACAACAACATGTCCACATGCAAAGCACGTGCATTATACTAGTCATTTTAAAATAATGACGAATCCAAATTTCACACGACTAGTATAATGCACGTGTTTTGCATGTGAATGTACATGTTTTAAGTTTTAAATTTTTTATTGGATAGTTAAACTATGTGTTAATAAATAAAATTGTACAATAAGATTGCTAAAAAAGAAATATTGTATGTATTAATTATTATTGTGTAGTTATTGCAATTGAATGTTTTTCTTATAATGATTCGCTCAGTGCTAACCTTTTTTTAAATAAGTCCCCCAAATCTAATATTATTCTTAAATAATACCAATTTTATAAGTTATTTTAAATATA